TCTTTCCATGACTTCTCCCCCTCCTCCGTCTTTTGTTCTTCCACTTATCTTCCTGAATTTTCTTGTCCTCCTCCTCACTCATCTCCTCCTCCTCTTCCTCAATTATATTCTCCTCCTCCTGTATTATCTCCTCTTTCATTATCCTCCTCCTCCTTCTCTTCTTGATTTTCACCTCCTCCATCTCCTCTTCCTCTGTCTGCACCATCTTCTCCTCCACCTTAATTCTCTCCATTTCCTCCTCCTCTTTTATTGTCTCTTTCTCTTTCACAGTTTTTTCCTTCATCTTTCTTTCCTCCTCTTCTTTCAAGTTTTCCTCTTCCTCCTTCATGATGTCTTCTTCATTATCTGTTAAAATAGAAATGATTGCAGTTTACACATTCAGAGGATGTTAAATTCCAGACGAGGAGAAAATAACAATTTAGAATAACAATTTTATTAATAACATTAGTGACAAATTGATATATATATAGACGTATATATGTTGATTTACCATCAGAACTTTGTTCTGTTGACATGGGGAGTGTTTTTTGCTCCTCCTCCAAGTTTTCTCCCTGATTTTTGTCCTCCTCCTCCTCCACCATTATACTCTCCTCCACATCTGTTAAAAGAGAAATGATTGCAGTTTACACATTGTCCACAGTCATTTTCATGCAGACATTAAACTCTAAGACCAGGTAATGAAGTACAGTTTATTTAAAGCATTACAGTCTAAAATGTATCTAGAAGTAAATATGAGTTTTCATCATCATAGCATGTTTCTGTTGAATTACCCAGAGAGAGGCAGAACATTGATTTGAAGAAGGAAGCAATCCGGCTTCTTTTCTTTTTCCTCTCCTCCTTCTTTTTCTTCTCCTTCTCCTCCTTCTTCTTCTTTTTCTCCTCCTTCTTTTTCTTCTCCTCCTCCCTCTCCTTCTTTCTCTCCTCCTCCAGACCTAAATGAGAAATTCAAGAGTTCACACTTAGATATTGCTTGATAATAATAGCAAGTTTGGCATGCTGTCCCAGGAGAGAACCTTAAAATTACTTTAAAAAAAAAACTTAAAATTAATAATAGTTATTTTAAAGTTGTTCTACACTGCATGGTTAAAAATATCACCTGACATTGATAGGCCGCACATGAGTTAGTAACCACAGCAAAAAATGTACTTCTGTCTAAAACATTACCTGTTAAAAATAAGTTTTTATGATAAACAGTACTTTCATTCCCGCTCTCCACTCATTATTTACTCACCCTCAGGTGTTTCCTTCATAGTTTTCTTTCTTCTAAACAGAAAGCAAGACATTTTTGATGAAAAATCGCTGTTTGATGAAACTGAAATATCGACCGCCACTATCACAAACCAACAAAAGATTCTCTGAGCTGCACAGCCAAAAGTATTCCACTGGAACGCGTTCTAAATGACGTTCTACACATCATACTGTAACTATGGTAACAAGACACCGCAAACGCCTCGTAAATGAGTGAGAATGATAGCAAATGATATGAAAGCAAACATGGTTGCTGAACAAATATTAACGAAATAAAGCGGTTTTAAGTGTTATTTGGATGATTTACAGTTCAGTGTTTGGACTGTCAGCAGTGAATATTTAAACACACTGAACTGAAATGAACCAATTTAAACTGAAATTAAACTCTGAAAACTGAACTCTTCTTCTATGTAAACCTGCTTTGACATAATATACTTTGTAAAAGCGCTATACAAATAAAGATTAATTGAATTATATATATATATATATATATATATATATATATATATATATATATATATATATATATATATATATATATATATATATATATATATATATATAATTTATTATTTATTTATTTATTTAGAAATTGACATCCCTTGGCCCTGAAGTGCCACGGTCCTGCAGATTTTAGCTTCATCTTTCCTATATATGGACGTATTAAATAATACCTGAATTAGGTGTGTTTAACTGGAATTTGCGTTAAACTTTTCAGGTCCCCTTTGGACCGCTTGGCACCCCTGGCATAGACTGAAGCCCAATGTTGTGCTTAGAAAATACATATTCAAAAATGTCCACTCTCTTGATATGATGGATAACTAATTGTAGGCAAAGTGGCAAACTAATTCAACAGGCAAACGGCAGAAACAGGGTAAAACCGTTCAATATGTGATTCCTCTTTTTCACCAGTAGAGGAGACTGTTGATCTGTTGGCCAATACTGGACACAATCAGTCCCACTTACAGTAGCCTAATGTCCACAGATCTGAGCTTTATTGTCATTGTATTAGACTTGCCAAATTAAAGAAAGATACATGTCTAGTTTATAGAGTTGACCCTTGTATCTTCTGTTATGTGACAGGGCTATTGAAACCTTGATTTTGATTAGCTGGTGTAATTATTCTATAATTATTTTTAGGGAAAATAAAACTGGGATCCTACACCGATTCCAATGTTAATTTTAAACACTTTTCAAGCGCTTAAAAAACATTTATGTGAGAAAAACATTTTCTAGGCATTTTTTTAAAGCCGATGTGAATCATGGAACTGTTTACGATTGTTAAACAAGTCCTAATGGTACAACATGATCTGTGACATTAAGCAGCCCCTTTCTGGTCAGGTCAGACTGTAGTTCCCATGTGTTCTGAGTCACACAATTCCTCCTTGAATTTTATATGCACACATTTATTACAGCTGTAATGCCAGTATAAAGAATGAACATTTTTAATACACAAATTCCAGAAAGATATTATAATTAAAATACTCTGTATAGAAGCCTCTTGTAAACCATAAATGACTCACCACAATGAATTGATTTGAGTCTCTAAACCAGAGTTTTTCTAGATTCATTCATTCATTTTCTTGTCGGCTTAGTCCCTTTATTAATCTGGGGTCGCCACAGCAGAATGAACCGCCAACTTATCAAGCAAGTTTTTACGCAGCGGATGCCCTTCCAGCCACAACCCATCTCTGGGAAACATCCACACACACACACTTATACACTACGGACAATTTAGCCTACCCAATTCACCTGTACCGCATGTCTTTGGACTGTGGGGGAAACCAGAGCACTCGGAGGAAACCCACGCGAAGGCAGGGAGAACATGCAAACTCCACACAGAAACGGCAACTGAGCCGAGGTTCGAACCAGCGACCCAGCGACCTTCTTGCTGTGAGGCGACAGCACTACCTACTGCACCACTGCCTTGCCCCTTTTTCTAGATTTAGATTTTTTATTTTTAAGACATTATCTCCATCTTTGTGCAAAGATAAAAAGGTAAAGTAACATTAAAAACAACTTTAATGATCTGTAAGCAACTCACAATAATTAGATTTGCCTAATACGTTCAATAATTAGTACATAATCAAAAATAAGAAATGTGATTGCTTTGCTTGCTCAGTATTATTTGAGCATTATTATTCAGCATTATTATTAAAAAAATATTAAATAAAACTTTGTAAAAAATAATAATTCAGAAGTCGTTTAAAATAAAGTTCAGTTAATTACAGGAATCCAATAAATATTTAATGATACATTTCTTTGTATGGAGTTTTATCCAAAGCATGATGAATGTGACTATGGCAGTGTTTTCTTACAGTGGTAGTTGCAGGCTACATATGGCTATAAAATATCTTGGTTTTAAATAATTATTAAATTAGACATTCTTTAATGTGTGAACACATACATTTTATAAATTATAAAACAGATGGTATAGTATATGTCCTCATTATTCGACAAACAGCAGCTGCATACAGCACTGTATATATTCCTTTCAGATGAATATGTCTTTAAATGCTCCACTTACGTAATTTATACATGTATTGAATAATATTTCATTGTAGACTGATGTATGTGGTGTAGTTGGAGTATTTAAACCAAGAATAAAAAAATAAATATATTTCCTTGTCTTTAATCTGCTCAAGCTGTGTAACTTCCTGTAACTCATATAACTTCCTGTAACTTACACACAAAGCAAATACAGCCCGAACACGTTCTAAACGGTCCATGGATCCATTTTTACATACACATTACTGCAAGTAAAATACGGTAACTTACCTAGAAATGAATATCACATCTTTAAAAAGCCTCAGCACATATTGGTATTTTATTATTTGGTTGTTTTTAAAAGCATTAAACACATTAAAGTCTACTGAGAACCATTTTGTCTGAAACACATCAGACTTTGACCCTGTATCAGGTGTATTTAGGCTTTGTTTTAAGGAGATTAAATTAAAGCATATTTAATATCATTATGAATATGAATTCTTACTATTTTCAGAACAACATAGTATTGTAATACACAAACTCAAAGTTCACTGTTTTTTGTTGTTGTTGTTATAAAATTAATTATAATCATGGATTGTTGGAGTCCTAACTCTTTGAAGCAAGCTCAGTACAACAGCACAATAGCTAGTAAAGCTTGAATAGTCTCCATATTGTGTACAAAACCTCAAATTAAAGTAATACTCACATTTATTCCACTGTTTTGTGTTCTGTAATTTTATTAAATTGTTTTGTCAGCTTACTGTATACCACAAACACACATACACATTATACACAATCTCACCAACTGAGATGTCTACAGTTTAGACTTAATAGCAACCTATAGTTACACATTAAATACACAAGCATCCATGTTGCAAGTACAACATGCTACACAGGTTATTGCAGGGGTGGGGAAACTCTGTCCTGGAGGGCCTATGTCCTGCAGAGTTTAACTGGGTTATTGCATGTGAAAAAAAGTCTTTATAAATCAATAATTTGCCCCTGTAATAGTAATATCCCCACTGTTGTTCACTTGAGTTGGAATCATCAAAGCATTGTACAGTTTGCGTAATTCACTAAAAATTGTAAGGAAAGACCCAGGATTTTATTATTTCAGTCACGTGTGAATATTTTGCGTAATAATGTACAGGACACTGTCAAACTGCAAATAATCACATTCTATGTTATCTAGAATTTAATAAGTAGAATTAAAAATATAAAAGTACCGACCTTCTGTGGTTTCTCTCTTACAGACAGATGGACAGCTGGAGCAGCATAAGCCCATTCACTCTCATTCCTTTGATAAGTGTACGTCACTGTTCATTTGTCACATTTATTTTATTATATTATGACATAATACTTTTTTTTTTTAAGTTTTTGTTTTTAATTGTAAATATTAATTTTGATTTTTTAAATTGCTCATAGGATGAGCAGATAGTGGTAAATGAATGTTAAATTATAATAAATTTAAATGGCAATGTAAAAGTTCCTTAGACCCTTTAAAATACCTTAAAAGTTTTCAAGGGTTTGATTGTACTTTACATGTGCATGACCGTCGGTATACCACCAGCAGAAGTTCTGTCTGTTAATGATGAAAACTATAAAATAGTTTTAAATAAATAAATAAAAAAACTAAAAGGCCAACAAAAAATATATTTTACCTAAATAAATAACAGATTAACAAAACCAAACAAACAACACCAACAACATGTAAGCTATCTACCTTATCTGCTTGTCTTACAACCCCAAATCAGACAAAAGTTGGAAATGTATGTATAACGCAATTAAAAAACATAGTGATTTCTTAATTTACTTTGACTTGTATTTCATTACAGACATTACAACATACATTATTTAATGTGTCCCTTATGATTTTCTTCCCCAAAATAAACACATATTCCAATTTTGTTTTTTTGAACACATTTTAGTTGGAACAGGATAGAGCTTTTAACACTTTGTAATGTTGCTATTCTTTGTGTTTCAGGTGTAATTTTGTCCCATTCTTCCTGCAAATAAGTCTTTAAGGTAGGCAACAGTACAGAGTATTTGTTGTCGTATTTTGGGCTTCAAAATATGTCACATTCTCTATTGGAGACAGGTCGGAACTGCCGGCAGGCCAGTCAGGTACCTGCATCCTCTTCCTGTGCAATGGTCACTGTAGCCAATAACAGTCATATCTTTTGAGCTCGTGTACACAATGGGCAATTAGCAGTGTTCAAGAATTCAATCATCAGCATTAAAATGAACTTACTGCTTCTCTCTGGCTTTTTTTTTGTTTGTTTTGTTTTGTTTTGTTTCTACACTGTAAAAAAATACTGGTTGACTTAAATTTTAAGCTGAATCAAATTAACCTTATGGCTCCATTCAACTTGTATTATGTTAACCTGACTTAACACAGCTTGTGTAACTTATAAAATTAAGTCATAACATGATTAACTTAGTTTAATAAGTTACAATGAACTAAAAACATATGCTGTCGGGACTAAATTATCATATAATATTTTTACAGTGTATTAATCATGATTATGTTTTCCTTTGTTTTGCAAATCTAAATCTAAATGTTCACATCATTGAACACTTATTGTTGGCCTTACACTGTAAAAATGATTCATTGCATTTACAAAATAGTTTTAAGGTAAGTGGTTGCTAACAATTTATATGGGCTGAATTAAAACAAACATATTACATTTAGTAATGTCCAACTTAAATACTTTGTTTAAAATTAGCCCTTTTTTTTATAATTTAGTAAAATCAGTGAATTGTTTTTTTCAGTGTGCTTTGAATTGATTATAGACATTCAGATTTGCTTACAGCAAGTAATAAAGACACATAAATAAAATGATAACATCTGGACTTTTTATATAAAAAAATAAACCCTAAAATCTATTTAATTAATGACAGACGAGTTAACAATAGCTTGGCTTCAGGACTGAACTGTTTGGTATCCAAGCACAAATAATTACACTCACCGGCCACTTTATTAGGTACACCTGTCCAACTGCTCGTTAACACAAACATTTCTAATGCAGTCTGGCTGCAACTCAATGCATTTAGGCATGTAGACATGGTCAAGACGATCTTTTGCAGTTCAAACCGAGCATCATAATGGGGGAGAAAGGAAATTTAAGCGACTTTGAATGTGGCATGGTTGTTGATGTTAGATGGGCTGGTCAAAGTATTTCAGAAACTGCTGATCTACTGGGATTTTATGCACGATTATCTCTAGGGTTTACAGAAAATGGTCTGAAAAAGAGGAAATATCCAGTGAGCGGCAGTTCTATGGGCGCAAATGCCTTGTTGATGCCAGAGGTCAGAGGAGAATGGCCAGACTGGTTTGAGCTAATAGAAAGGCAACAGTAACTCAAAAAAACACTTGTTACAACCAAGATATGCAAAAGAGCATCTCTGAATGCACAACACATCTTGTGGCGGATGGGCTACAGCAGCAGAAGACCACACCAGGTGCCACTCTTGTGAGCTAAAAACAGGAAATTGAGGCTACAATTGCCACAGGCTCACTAAAATTGAACAATAGAAGATTGGAAAAGCGTTGCCTGGTCTGATGAGTCTCGATTTGTGCTGCAACATTCGAAAGGTAGGTTCAGAATTTGGCATCAACAACATGAAAGCATGGATCTATTCTGCCTTGTATTAATGGTTTATGTTGTTGTTGGTGGTATAATGGTGTGGGGGATATTTTATTGGCACACTTTGGGCTCAGTACCAATTGAGCATCATGTCAACGCCACAGCCTACCTGAGTATTGTTGCTGACCATGTCCATCCTTTTATGACCACAGTGTACTCATCTTCTGATAGCTACTTCCAGCAGGATAACACGCCATGTCATAAATCACGAATAATCTCATACTGATTGCTTGAACATGACAATGAGTTCACTGTACTTGAATGGCCTCCAAAGTCACCAGATGTCAATACAATAGAGCACCTTTGGGATGTGTTGGAAAGGAAGATTCACATCATGGTTTTGCAGCTGACAAATCTGCAGCAACTGCTTGATGCTATCATGTCAATATGGGCCAAAATCTGAGAAGTATTTCCAGTACCTTGTTGAATCTATGCCACGAAGGATTAAGGCAGTTCTGAAGGCAAAAGGGGGGGCAACCCGGTACTAGTAAGGTGTACCTAATAAAGTGGCCGGTGAGTGTATATGTGTTTAACATTTTACAAAGAAGAAGTCTATTAAGTAAGGTTCAAATTCATGCAAGGCTAATAAAACAATACCAAATAAAAGTTCAATATTTGTCATTCAGTACCTAAACCGGCAATATCTCCAAATTTAATACTAAATTTAGTCGAAAACAAACACCACTGCTACATATTTCTTGCTCTCCATACATTAAGTGCGTTTTAGAAGTACTGTCATCTAAACCTCAGTCTCTGTGTCATCCTTTCTGGCTATTGACAAACAAGAAGTGTGTGTGTGTCCTGCCTGAGGCTCTCTATGTCTTACACACACACAAAGTGAAATATCCTATGACAGGAGGGATGGCTCTGTCTCTGTGGGCTACACAGAAGGTCCAGCCATGCTGACACTGAGTGAGAGCGACAGACAAATCTCTAACAGACTGTTCCTGACAGAAGAATTATTGTTATACAGCTGCGTTACAACAGCCAAATGTGGGGGTGTGTGGTCCTGGTATTCATAACATTGTGGGGACCAAATGTGTATGCAGTCTTTACAGTATTATATCTATGGGAAGTCCCTATAAAACCCAACGGGTTCAGGCTTGTAGCCAGGGTGGTGGTTCGAAAATCCTAACCCCCATCGACAAAGGTCCAGAATTTTTGCCATACATGAGCTCATTTGTCCATTTTTTGACTGCTTTTCCATCATGAATTGTGAAAATAACCCATTAAATAGGCTTTAAGACCAAGTGAAATCCTCTGTTGGCTGTCGTGGCTTCAGCTTAACAATTTTGGCAAACAATTATTTTTCAGGAGTCCAACAATAAGTCGTGAAAGAAAACGTACAATCTGACAAAAGTCATCTTTCAATATTGACCTACTGTATTGTTGTAGAAAAAAATATTTTACAAATAACTTTTATTCCAAATCTTAGACCTTATTCGTGAAACAAAAAAAAAATTATCAAGAATGGTGTAAAGCGCCAAAGGTGGTACATATTACAATTAATTTTAATACTAATCAGGCTATTGTTATCCATTAATATTCAATTAAACTTTTTTACAGGAGAAAAATCTAGAAAAACAGTGAAGCTCTATATTATTGCTTATTTATTTGTTAATTCAAATAGCCAAATTCTAACTTGAATAACTTGAGGAAAGTCGAATGTGCTCGCCAGACTGTTATTTGCCTAAAAATGAATTTAAGCTACAGTTTTTAATGTAAAGAAATTAACAAATCTTTTTTCCCACATGATAAATCATGTAATAAATTAGTATTTAAAGCATGTTTTTCCACAACTTTTAAAGAAATGTTTAGGTACATCAAAAGGTTTGGATTTAATGACCATCCGACAAGCTATTTAAATAAAAATAGTGCTTAAAATGAAGTTTCACAAACTAATTTTGAGAGAAGCACATGATATGATTGACTGCAGCTGGCCACTCATCTACACTCATTAGCTAGCCAATCATTTTCATCCAAACTCACTATAAGTAACCTAGCTAAGAACTGCTCCCTAATCTTCATTTTCCCGAAGAAACCCCCCATCCACCCCTTCTCCTCCTTTCCTCTTTTGCCGAGGGGAGCTCTCGAGAACACCTGACCTCGTACTCCCCTCACATGCTCTATGGACCTGGCGGGAGCCCTGGGCTCAACTCTATCTGAGCTCAGGGTTCTCTCCCGGGACAGCATGCCAAACCTGCTAACTTGCTAACAATTTGTCAAACAGTATCTAAGTGTGAACTCTTGAAATGTCATTTAACTGCAGTATTTAAACTTCAAAAATAAATACAAAATGAGGCAAATAACTGCAAAAAGGTTCACTTTTTAAGGAAAAACAACCACCCCTTTCATCAGGCTGGCTACGGGCATGGTGTTTGTGTGTGCTTACTTTTTTTTATGTGGTTTACGAGGATGCCCTATGAAATCATAATTCACAATCATACTTAACAGTTCTTTTGTATTTAAGAATTTGGGCGTCATGGTGGCTCAGTGGTTAGCACTGTCACCTCACAGGTAGAAGATCACTGGTTCGAGTCCCTGTAATTCTGAGTAATACTGTAATTTTTACAGCACCTTTTTACATTGTGGGTACGGCATTTTAAATGTGCAAAAACACTGTTTCCATGAAGAAATTATTATTAATAAAAATAATTAAAAGTGTGTGAAATAGAGTGTAGGGGCGACACAGTGGCTCAGTGGTTTGATCTGTCGCCTCACAGCAAGAAGGTCACTGGTTCGAGTTCCGGCTGGCTCAGATGCATTTCTGTGTGGAGATGCCTTCTCCGGGTGCTCTGGTTTCCCCCACAGTACAAACAACTGCGCTATTGGTGAATTGAATAAACTAAACTGGCTGTATGAGTGTGTATGGATGTCTCCCAGTACTGAATTGCAGAAGGGCATCCACTGTGTAAAACATATGCTGGATAAGTTTCAGTTCATTCCGTTGTGGCGACCCCTGATGAATAAAGAAATTAAGCTAAAGGAAAATGAATGACTTAAAAAATCTACTGTAAAATTGTCATAATCAGTAATGTACCTTAACTAATATATACCCAAGGACAGGTGTGGTGAAGAAGATAATCAGATGTTTGACTGAACATTTTGTCCTGTTTTTAATTGACGTTTATGAATGGCGTCCAGGTGGACACCCTGAGAGTTTCTGGCTGGAGGAAATGCCACTGAGCATGTGTCGTGTGCTTCACTGCTTTCTGCTGGATTCCTGATGGGTGCCGTGGATTGGGAAATGCACATTTTGCACTTTTGTCTTTGTTCATTGCTGTAAATGCTTTATATCACTGCACACATCATAAGCTAATGTGCCACCTTCACACGACTCATTTAGGCTGATTTCTCTAATAATCCCCTCAATGCCATGTTGGGTATTTTCTATCTAAATCTCATGTATTAATTTTTTTGAAATTTGTTCAGACCTGCAGATTTATTGATATGCTTACACCAGATTGCCAACTGCAGGATGTGTACACCCCTGGCAAATCTTTAAATCTTTTAAATTCATATTTTTAGCTATACAATATTATATTACATCAGATTAGTCAGGACTTTGCATGTTCTCCCTGCCTTCGCGTGGGTTTCTTCTCTGGGTGCT